TAGATATTAGCCTAAATGTAATAAATAAGATTAGGATTGTAATAAAAGTTAGAATAATTATAGCAAAGTCATGGAAAAAAATATATACAATATATAAACACACACAGGCACGCATATATAATATGTATATTTTCCAGGGTGTGCGCTTACATCATTTAAAGTTTTCTATTCATTTTAAAATTTTGAATTCCGATTTTATTTTCGATTAAATTCTGTTTCTTTTTAATATTTTGCGATTCAAAGATTACGCATCTCACGTTATATACGAATTACTTTGCGATTCCCTTGGACTTTAAATGGAATCACAGAAATTATAGGATATAAGAAATTATTATTACTGCGCACACAACTTTGCTTTATGTAAAATATCTATATTAAAAAATGAAATAATGTTGGGAGATTGGGAGTTCAAAAAGAACATAAGAACAATTATTTATATTCATATTATTTGGTTTACAGAAGTTAACAGACAGTAGTAAGTAGACTGAACCTAAAAATCAGTTCGCTCTAAACATTATTTTTACAAACATATATAAATATACTCAGTTACAAAAATAAATGGAATTTTTTATTTGATTCTTGGAGTTTTGTGAATGTTACAAGTAACATTTGTAAAATACATGTAACATTCGTATAAATTATTAATATTAAGTATAATAACCATATCATCATAAATTTTGTAATTTCTCATAAAGTATCGCATTTCGTAAGCTTATAATATTATTAACTACGTTATATATATTAAAGCTAATATTATTAGTATTATTATTAGTCACACATCTCGGTATCACCAGCAACGATTCGAACTTTGACGAAACATGATACTGTGAAAAAGTCGAACGAGATAAAAATATTTCTCATTGTTGGTGAAACCGAAATTAGCTGAACACATTTTCATATCTCCACAAATATAGCATTTTTAACAGACATCGCATCACATTATTACAAGTACCACTCAATAAACAGATAAACAGAAAACAAATTTAGTTTGCACAAGAGGTAAAATTTTTATATTTATAATTTTCATTTTTTCTTCGTTACAAGAATTATAAAGGATTAAAATATCGTTAAAATTACGTACAATATTATAATTTTGTTTTTATAAAACAGACATAACATTTTAAAATTACATACATTTAAAGCATATCTATATTGGAAGACATTTAATTATCAATTATGAATATATTTATATCGATAATTTATTATCAATATAAGAAAAATATATACTATAAAAATCATTAATTTTATTGTAACATCAAAATTAGGGTCGCAACGTGCTAATCAGAACTTGTGGAGTATATAGCATTAAGATATTAATTAATTGTTAATTATAAGGTCATCTGCATTAAAATTGTTATTGGCCCCATTCTGATTTTATTATTATAATTTGCACTTAAAAATTGCAACCACAAAGGTGCTACATGTAAATATAGAGGTAACTTTAAATAATTTGAACAATTCATGGACATAATTTCGAATAGAAATATTATTTACTCGTTTAATTACTCGATTAATTTATTCATTTGCCAATATTACTGTATGTTACTTTGATTCTCACAATTAGACATTATGACTCAATGTAAAGGAAGAGGAAGAGTTAGAACGCTGCTAATGATAGCAGGAGTATTTTCGATAAATGGCTGAATATAGAGTAAGTTTAAGTTTTGTTATTATAAAACATTTATATCAATTGTTCTGATCGAATACATTTTCTCGGATATCATATACACCAATATGATATTGGATATATGTATATTGCCAACCATATTGATTCATATGTGAATAAAAATAAAATATTTCAACTAATGTTTCTAAAGTTTTTTTTTTAAAGGTGAAGAGCAAAAGCACATCCTTCATAATTAGCACATAATCATAATTATCTTGTTCTTTGTTATAAAAAAAAAATATTTCCTTTGTATTTCAAAATGTTGGTCATACAAGTCTATATTGTCATATGAACTTGTATTGTTTTAAAGTAAAACCTTTCTCTATTTGTTTCAATTTGTAAATTATGTTTTGTTGCAATTCGAGATCATTAATCTACCAGACGATAAGCAGCGAACAAAAACAAATATGTGACTCTAGGAGCCGTGTGCTGTTGTTCACTTAAATCCAATTATATCATAATATGCTCTATAATATCTTAAGCAATACATCATATTATAAATCACATTTGTAAACTGTTTTAAACTTTCATTCGGTAATAGAGTCATTTATAGACTTTTTCGTAGTAAAATTTATTACAAAAATAGTTTATTTATCATTGGGCTATTGCGTCTAATATTTGTGCAATGCGAAAACTGATTTGCCATATATATAGAATGAAAGCTATTTTTCATTATTCTATAAATTATAAATTGGACACAATGCAAAAAAATGGCAAAAATTATTTTCTGTCGCATTATAAATAATTACGTTGTTGTAATCGTCACAAAACAATATTGATAATAATTGTTGATAAAACCTTGCCTTCATTATTATTACCAATAAATTTGACCTAAAATTTAATTTATATAATTAATATCAAAATCCGCGTTATTTCTAATTCTAAACACGAAAAAAAATTTTATTTTCGTGAAAATGTAAATTATTTTCTAAGAATATATAAAAAATTTATATCTTTTTGTGCAGTTTTGAATTTATCATTATCTTTTTTCCTGAACTTACCAAAAATATAACCCGATAAGTATGATAAATCCATCAAAATAAATAGTTTTGTTATTATAGCATGCAACACTTCTTCTTATTCTTCTTGTAATTTGGTTTTAGTGGTGGCCGTTCCGACAGTTGAAATTTTCTGACAATTCTCACCAGCTCGTGGAAAGCTTGATCGACGTTCATCCGTAGTTTAGCGCTACACTCAATGTATGGAATCTTCAATTGACGCGCCATATTTTGTGCCTCCTCAATTGATACCTAAAATAAAGATTTAAATGGATTAGGAAAATATGGGGAAATAAAAACATATAAAATTACAATTATTATTCTCTATAGAAAGAAATATCCGAAATAAAATTTAAGCTGTAAGAAATATCCGAAATAAAATTTAAGCTTAATTTATTAATATATATATAATATAAAACTTACACTCCTTTGATGGTCCAGATCTGCTTTATTTCCAACCATTAGCATAGGAAATTCATCTCGATCTTTTACCCGAAGTATTTGCCTATGAAATTTTAGTATCTCGTCAAAAGACGAGTGATCAGTGACGGCAAACACGAGGAGGAATCCCTCGCCGCTTCTCATGTATTGTTCCCGCATTGCACTAAATTCTTCTTGACCAGCAGTGTCCAATACTATACATAAATATAGTTTCGATATAATACTTATTATTGATTCTAAATTAAATCAGGTTCAGAAGAAGTAAATAAACATGAATGAACTCGTGATTGATGATCAGGATTAATTGGATTTATTTGAGATTTAAAAATCTATATGAGCAAAATTAAAAATAAGTTTTAAAATAAATATAGATAGACTTATTCATTTACTATCGAGTTTAGCTGGCACATCATCGATAACGCACTGCTTCGTATAAGAATCCTCGATTGTTGGATCATAATCGGTCACGAAATAACTCTGAAAAAAATTTTACTACAGTATATAGAATGTACATTACATTAATTTCATATATTTCATCATATGTTTAAGTGTTAAGTGTTCCTGGAAAAATCTCATATCTCATACTTTTAAAAATTTGTTATATTTTACATTCATAAAAAATTTCCAAGAAAGTACCTTAAATTATAAACTTTTTCAGAGTTTGTAAGTTTTCTTCAAAAATTACAAAATAAAAAATCTTATAAATCTTCTAGAATATTTCAGAATTTTCACACATATGAAAAATTCTAAAAATTCTAGACTTCTGAAATAAGTAATAATATAACAAATTTAAGATATTTTCTAAAAAGTTATAAAGTTATATACAAAAAATTAAAAAATTTTGAAATTTATATAAACACTGAAAAATTATAGATAAATAATTATATATAAATAATAAAAAAAATTTTCATCAGAAAGAGATGTTTCAAATTAGATCTATTCACGCGAACTAAGTTTTGAAAAGTTCAAGATGAGAAGAATACGAATAATTATATTTTTTACAATAGAAATTACAATAGAAATTACAATAGAAATTACAAAAGATTTAAACCTCATATTTGCTTATCATCGACAAGTGGGGGCCGCGGGGGCTCGGAGAGAATTGAAGAAAATGACATTACCAATAATTAATAAAAATAGTATCTCGTCGATTACGTCGATCAATTCGACAACAACGCATTATGTCCCCTTCTGCCCCCTTCCGGAGTACGCACGTACGCATTCGAGGTTTCGTTAGAATCGACGCGCCACGGCGCTGCCGCGTATATGACCATATATGACGATTGCGTACGCGCTGTGACATAATAATGCTCAACTCAAGTGTTGTTTTCTCATTTCATCAAAAGTAACGCGACACGATATCTTGTTTACAAATTTCACAAATACATTTCCCTCTCACCCCGTTATTATTTTGTCGTTTTTATCGCCTTGACTTAATTATCTCCAACAAGAATTCGATAACATGTCGAAAGATAATCAAGATTTCTGAAAGCACGAGAGATCGCATTTCGGTGACAATGACGGAACGTAAACGCGACGCTTTTCGTTCTCTCGTTCGCGTTTTTCGAATGAAAAAGGAAATTCAAATAATCAAAAAATCCTGTCGAATACTGAGATCTGCGAGACGCAAAGAAACGCTTCTGCGCATTAAATCGAAACGCGAAATACTCGCGATCGATCCTATGACAGATGAACAAAATAGATTATCGTTCACCTATGTAGAATTAGCGGTGGCGAAAACAAATCGATGCTAAAACTTACTTGGATAAATTGTATCGTGATCGCCGATTTTCCGACACCGCCCCCACCCACGACGACGAGCTTGTAGGGCTGCGCATAGCTCTGTCTGTCAGCGACTTTCGACATCTTTCTCCTCTCCCTCGCTCGCTCGCTCGTGCTTACTTGCTCTCACTGGCGCCGCACGCGCGCGATTAAACGCTCATCCCGCGTGCGTGAAATTGACACGATACAGGAGAGACGACTCAGTGTCGCGTGCGCGGAAACGGAACGGACGTTTTTCGCGACGCCGTCCGCCAAGGCTCGACCGCGCAGCCTCGTAGACGAGGCTCACTTTTTATGGTCGGGATTCTCCCTCCGCGACGGTGTCAGTAACGTAGGTTTTACGCTGTTTTGCGAAACAGTCGCGCGTGGCGCTGCGAGTTTCGCGTTTACTTTCTGGCTATTCTCCTTTCTAACCTGAAATCCCTACTAAATTGTGAATTGTGACATTTGTGACAACTCAGCACAACTCGTCAGTGATCGAATTGTGTGGAGTCATTTAAATAATTATTTACATAGTACATCTTTCAAGTGACACGTAAGTGTGTTATTGTCCTGTAAACTACTGTGTTTATTAATTAGAATTTTAAATTACATTACATTTGAAAATAATTCACTGTGACATGATAACCTTTCTTGATAAAATAAAATCTTATGAATTTGACATATAAATAATAATTTATTAAAATAGAAATTGCTTTGAAAATAATTATATATATACATATATTACAATAATAACAATTATATGCTATTATATGTTAATCAATTCTTTTGTAGGGAATAATAAAGTTATTATTTAGCATCGATATTTTATATTATAGATATTAAAAATGAATAGTTCGACAGACCCAAGGCGACCGGATAAAGAAGTTCGCTACAAACCACCAGGTTCAAATAATCAGTTACATATGCAAGATGACATGACTCCAGAATACATGAACGTCATAGGAATGATATTTAGCATGTGCGGCTTAATGATGAGATTGAAATGGTGTTCCTGGGTGGCACTTTACTGTTCCTGCATCAGCTTTGCCAATACACGAGTAAGCGAAGACGCCAAACAAATCCTCAGTTGCTTCATGCTGTCGATATCGGCAGTAGTGATGTCTTACTTGCAAAATCCACAGCCTATGATACCACCATGGGCAAGTGCTATGCAGTAAATTTTTGTACAAATTTAATGTTTTGCACAGCTTACCTTAACAAATTATTTTTGTCTTATACATGAGTGCAAGAAAATTTCAATAGAATAATTAAAATAGAATAATGTTTATATTAGAATGAATGATTATTATATATATTGTATAAAGAATTTTCTTATAATGTACGAATGAATAATAATGAAATCATTTGTAATAATTTATTACTCAGTATGCAATATTGAGTCCTTGTTACATTAATAATTTTCGGAATCATTTTATGATCACTCAATATTTGAATAATCTATTGCATATACACTATATACAGACGTAGCATTTTTTTTCATTGTTTATTTCTTATAAATAAATTTATATTATGTATTATATTAAAATTAATTGTATATTCTATGAATTTTCCCTAAGGGTACTATATAAATAAATATTCTAAATGTGTGTGTGTGTGTGTGTGTGTGTGTGTGTGTGTGTGTGTGTGTGTGTGTGTGTGTGTGTGTGTTATATTGACTAGAATTTAAATGCCACCTGGTGCTTTTTTTTTACATAAGTACAGCGACAAAACTCGAATTCTTAAGAAAGTCGCATCTTTGAACTATGTAATCGCGAAATATTCTTTCATTCGCACTAAGTATCATCATCAAACTCGAGCAACTTGATTAGAGTATATAATATTGGGTTGTCCAGAAAATTCGTGCCGACTAACCTATAATTTAATAAATGTATACTAAGATCTTCAGCGTTTCAATTTTCCTTCAACATCGGCACGAACTTTCCGGATAACCCAATAAAAAAATGTATTGATGATGATTATTACTGCGATTTGTACATTAAAGTATGATGTTTTAAGAATAGTAAAAAATTATATCAAAAAATTATACGGAACGTATGCGAGATTTGATCTTCATTTGGTAGATTTATATTCAAAAATATATAAAAATCAATGGTCTCTTTGTAATTTTAATAAACGATATTAATACAAAATAGACCATTACTGCAATATGTTGCAGTACATATTTTAATCTTAAGAGATTTAAAAATTGTTGCAGAAATGCTTTTCTTTCCGATCCTAAACGAGTGGGGAATAGATTTTCTGATATGGAATTTGAAAATTTCCTCAAAAAGATAATTTCATATCATGTTTAGTTTCATTGATCAATTATTAAAATAATCGCTCGATTATTTTTCAACATTGTTCTTAGGAACATGCACACATATCCTCTTATCATTGATATTTCTAAGTAATCCTATTAGAAGTTGTTCTTTGTAATTATTGATTATTACAATAAGATTACAAAATTCTCTCGTAATATCTCTAGTTGAAATATTTGTATCAAGATAGGACAATAATTGAAGAAAGTACGTCTGAAAACTTATAAATCGAAAATGAATAATGAAATGTACAAAAAACGTAAAAGTGTTTTAAAGATGTTGTAATTCTAGATCTTCACACACATCTGTTAGAATACCGTTTGGTTTGATTATTTAAGAAATTTGTAAATTAAAGAAAAAAAAGGAAGTTGGAGAAGAAAAATTTGGCACATGTATTTAAACACCTATTTCTGACTACTATTATCGTATCTCGTGGTCCTCGATTGGTTTTATTTCAATTCGCTGAGTTAACGTCATTTTATACGTAATAAATATTCTTTTTAATCGAAGTTAAAGAGAATCAAACCATACATGAATCACGAAGAACGAAATTACTTTATTTCTTTTATCTCGATTGGCTTTTTTACTGAATGAAGACCTTCGCAATCGCATTGATTATGCCTCTTCATCTAGAATCTACGACTAGACGCTGCTCTCTCCTCGTCCCACCAACGTAATGGGATACACGTATTTTTTCCGCTTAGCGTTGAAAAATGGTGAATTGTGCTGGCCAGGAGTCGGTGTGGGCGATAAGCCTCGGAGAAGCGGTAATGAGGCGTCACCGCCCACGCCGGTAGCATCGATTCCTTTCTTCCATTCAGCACCTAAATCCGTGGCCGGTGCCATAAGTCCTTTGCACTCTGGTGAACTACGCACACTGAGGAAGACATCATTGCTACTATCACGCTGCCCAGAGGAACCCTGAAAATACAAAGATACAAACTTGTTATGATTGTAGAAATTATTTTTTTACCGCAAGATTTTGAGTATACATACCTTTGCTTCGTAGAAATCCAAACTGGAACCGGTCTCTTCCTCGTTATACTCCACTTGTACGCGATGCGAAGTACGGGAGACTCTCGAAGAGTGTGAGGATGTGTGAGTTGACGAATTCTCCGACAAATCGTCCCTGCAACACGCTGCTGTGCATGTTCGTTGTTCTCTGAAAGATATATTTATTTATACGAAATATGAATATATAAATTCTGATGAAAAAAAAGTTCAATATACTTGTAGAATAGATTTTTACTAACTTCATTTAATATTTAGTAGATTGATGCATAAAATCAGGCCTTATATTTAAGACTTTCTTAAATTGATCTTCAGATGCCTACGAATTATTTTATTGATTGAGCGTCTAAAGATAAATAAGGAAGCCTTAAATATAAGGCTTGACTACGAATACATATACAGAGTAATAAATAAATTATTTTTAAATTAAATAAATTACAGAAGAATCAATCCTATCAGAATTAAGAGCGATTTTTGATATTGCAGGCTCAGTTTCATAATTCATTAATTCTTAATTGAGATTTAACTCATTCCTCATCTCTATCTAATGCTAGAAATAGTTTAAACTTCGATTATAACCGTGAGTTATGAAACTGGGCCTTAGAAATCTTTTCTTTGTAAGAGATAAGTTAAATTTTGGCTTCTTTAATAGTAAAAAGATATTCACCTTCTAACGATAACAGAGTCCCGTCGTCTCGGGACCGGCGGCGGAAGACCGGCGGCGGCCAGACTCTTGGCACTCTCGTAACTCGCCTCACTGTTGCCACTGCTACTGCCGTTATTACTGCCTCCCGCATGCTCCCCCGTCCTCAGGAAGTAGTTCTTCGCTGAGAGCATCGCGTAGTGCAGATTATTCTTCAGATCGTCCGCCGCCGTCGACAAGTTTCCCGGGATCTTGGGGGTGCGTCGCATTGGCCTAGGTACCGGGACTACCGGCGACGGCGGACTGCTCGTCGACGCTTCTGACAGTGTCTCCGGTGTAGCCAAGGGTGCCGTACGCGAATCGTCCCAGCGACTCGGTCTTCTTGCCGAGAAAAGAAAGGAAAGGGTGAATTTCATCAGCAAGGAAAAGACCTGATCATTTTTCTATTCACGACACAAATGAAGTTTTATAAATTCGTATCAAAATCCAGACGACACAAGTGTCCTTACGCGTCTTCTCGGACCTTGCGTCATTTGGGAACACTTCCTGCGCGACTGTGATCTATTGGGATTTATGATCGTATTAATGCGATAACTTTGAAGTGCACGATATATATATATATATATATATGATGAGGATTCGGATCTAAGCGAGAGAAGCGAAAGTGAACGAAAGCGTGAAATGAAATTACTAGATCTGAGTGAAAAGCGGGTGCGACAGGTGAATTATTTTTTTTGGATTCCTATCTCTCTGCTCAATGATCCCTATGATTAAACGCTTCCCCTATTCATTCAAATATAAATAAATTCTTTAGAATTCACTATACTTTCTTATAAAAATCTACTTTGCCTTTGCATTAGAGATATCTTGATTAATCTGAATATGTTCTGAATAAAATCAATAATTTCGTGTTCAGCAATTGTATTTTTTTTTTTAGATGTCCAACAAAGATACGATAGCGTCGTCATGCTGGTGGCCAGAGTTCAACGTCATCACTTCTATCGCTGCTATCAATCTCCTCTTCTTCGGGATTCGTTCCCGTAATCCCGATATTAATCCTTCGCGATCCGGAGCGGTGTCTAAAATGTTTGAAGAAGGAATTTTACAAAAAAAGATCGCGTAACCAGCTATCTTGAAGGATACGGTCAACAAATAATACTAGAAATAGTCAATTAGTAAAATTCTCTCTTCTGATTAGTCCAATCAAATGCTTCAAAGGAAATGAGACCAATTTCATGACATCAATTTCGATCGTTGATTATCGATGCTGCCGGATCGCGAAGGGTTTTAAGTGGTTTCATCATCCTTACGGTTTGCCGTCTTCCAGCCTGGGCGTGTTGAGTAGCTCGCTGGCGAGGCTGACGTACTCCCATGGGATACCTCGGGAGTCCACACTGAGTTCACGACCGGCCTGTGGTATGTCCGTCGGGCTCTGCAACGACGTGAAGCTCGTCTCCAGGCAGAGCCGGTGCGGCGGGGTGCCGGCTAAATTGCCCAAATGATATCTGGTCGGGCTGGATGGCGACAACAGGGCTCGCATTTCCTGCTCTTGCAGCTCCAGCTCCTGGATTTCAATCGTATGATGCTCGCGCGCCGTCTCCGACGACATCTCCGTCGAGGACGCGTGTCCGGACACTAGTCGTTGTGGTTTCGCCGGTCCCAGAGTCGTCACAACCTGGCACGACGCGAGCCACGACGTAGGATACAATCGTACCTCTCGTTATAGAGTGTCGCGAAACTACAGGTACAAATCTCGTCCACGAATTTCTCGAGCTCGAAATCGATTTTCCCTTAGCAAACATCTCGTTATGTTTCTCTCGTTTCAATTTTCTACCTTGAATTCTCACTTGATAATTAAATGTCACGTGAAAATTGGAACAAGTTATCTCGTAGAAAAAGAGCAAGAATTCGGGAATTTGCCATTTTATTTTTCTACATTGAATTTTTCTACATCTGAATGTTTCGTAAAATTTTACTTAAATAAATTTCTTGAATTTGAATAAAAGAAACAAGGATATGCCATTTGCTTATATTGATTTTCAAGAAATCCATTTTCTATCACTAGTATTTCTATCAATTTATTTATAAGCGACACTTCTTTGTTTATTTCTAATCCTACGTTGCTATTCTAACATTTCAAATTCATTTTTCAAATTTTGTACCTATAACTTGTCGACACTCTATGCGAACTTCTTTATTTGTGTGATTTTTGTAAATAAATATTTTCATTTATCCATTCTTTTTTTCTTTTACTTTTATTAATTGTTTAAATACTATTGTATTAACTATCTAAACAGAGTATATTATTGTAAATCAAGAAATCTTTATATATTTATCAAGATTTTCTTTAAAGCTTTTGAAAGCAATCCGTTGTAATTTTCGATGGCCATCGCCATTGGAGATAGCTAATATCCGTGCTTCAACCGCAAATCAACATGAACTCAATTAGCACAAGAGGCGGAAGTAACCGCGAAATGTTTAATGCGGATAATGAGAACATAATCAGAATTTAGATGATAAAGTCGATAAGATCCCAAACGGAAGTCTGGAATGAGATATTTATTTCTCACTTCGTCAAGCGTAAATTTTCCTAATCACGAACTCGACTCTTCTTTTTATCTTTGCATCAAAGAAGTTAATCTGTCTAACAATTTTAAAGCATTTTAAAATTGTTAGACAGATTAACTTCTAACGCTCCGCTCAACGATAAGAATTGCCACATTATCCCGATTTTTCTTTTGTGGCAATGAAATTTTAATCTTTCATGTCATGTCCAATGAAGTCTCTTTTTGAAAAGATTAATCCCGAGTTTTTTCTGCTTAGTCAAAGTTCATTCAAAATATTCATTCTTCGAAAAAATTTATTTTTAACTTAGTCTTTTAAAAAATGTTTCTCGTATTCCTATGATTTTTTACAATTTTATAGACATGGTAAAATATTTTTCGTGAAAGAGTAAATGAGCGTTTAGAAGAGCTTCTTATATCTGATATTTGTTAAAAAAAAATTATATTTCTTCTCTATATTGTTATCATATCATATTGTTACTAATACTATTAATTATATTTTTTTCATGTTTTTATTTATAGTATCTATATATTTTGATTTTATGAGAAAAGGTCTGTCATCACAAAATAAGAATTTATTTTTATAAATAAAAATTAAGAGATAAAAGCTACCTTACGTATATCGTAAGAATTTGTTAACATCTTACTAGCAATCGTCTTTTAGAGTTTGTAATAAATATACTTGCTTGTAATAAATATACTATAAAATGATATTGTTCATATTAATTAATTATTGATTGCCTAAGTTATGCGTGTATGTCACTTCCTAAACAGTTATCCTTGCAAACATCAATCGACGCTACTTCCTATTGTCAATCACACCTGTTCGATCATAATAGTCATCAGCATGCAGATACTCTCGCCAAACTCTATTCTAGAATCAATCAGGCCAATCGACTCTAGTCGAGTGTCGAGTGCACAATGAAGATATCATCAATCATGATGCGCATGCATTTACGTGTATGCGTGTGTGTATGTATATGCGTTCTCGATTTATGATTACAAATTACGATCAATGTTGCGTCAGGAAGTGCTTACCCCTTTTGTCGGAGCGCAATAATTGAATACCTCGCCCTGAAATTGATCAAAATCTCGGATATTTCGGTTTAATTAGTACTTCGTATACCGAAATTTACATTAAACCATGACGCGAATCGAATTATTCCCGGTTTGATTCCACATTCACAGAGAATATCATTTCACACAATAATACTTGCAAAATATCTCACAATCAATTTGATTCCACGCAAAATATATGCAAAATATTTTATTCTAATATGTTCAAAGAAGAAGAATACTTTGGTATATATATATATA